AAAAAATGCCATACCCAGGGCCACTCTCATTCATGAACTTTCAGAAGTTTGATGTGCTTGCAATTATATTTCAAAACGAAAAATTCAGCTCATCTTTCTTCTCTGTTGGCAGGCGAAATATCTTTTCCGGAATTTGTCTGTGGAAGAAAAGGCAAAGTTGCATGCAGTACAAGTTTTAGTTTTTGACATCGCTTCGCGTCGTGAGTCATGGAAAATCATTATTACTTATTATGTATACTTATTATTCACAGCACAAACATGTTACTATATACATGAGTCTAGCAACAAATTGTCCGGTTTTGGTGGAAGCTTCAGAAACCGACCTCACTGTTTCTCTGTCTGCCAATTTTTCTCGGCAAATGGAAAATATGGATTTTAGAAAAACTTCGCTTTAAAAACGGCGAAAAATGTACGTCAGTGTTTAGCGTCTCAAAAATGAAACATCGAAGATCTTTTTAATTTAACAATTTGTTTCGCTAGAAGGAATCCAAATTCCAGGGAAGTCAAATTGAACCCCCAGTGGAGTCTCTTTTTTCTGAAGCGACCCTGTGTTGCAGTACATTAGATGATGACAAGCTTTTGAAGCGTCTTTGGAAGACCAATCGAACGGCACACTTTGAGTGCGTTGCGCATGCAATCGGACATTCTACAAAAGTTCTTTATGGTCAGAACCGCCGCCGGACTTCGACGCCTCTTCCTCCACGTGGTACTTCTCCTCCGTCCGCTCCTCGAATGTTTCGCGTGTCGAGTACGGTGCGGGGAGTGGTATAGCACTACGTGACGGCGTGCTGCTTGAGACACGTTCTGCCGAGCTCTGCCCATTCCTCCGTATGCCGGATGTGTTCAGCTGCCTTCTCGCTTTGCTCTCTGCAGCTAGCTCTACTTCGCCACCAGTTCCAGTACCTGTATCGGTGCCGGTTCCGGCTTTGTCATAAACGTTACCGTCGCCGGTTGTTCGATCGTATGTTTCACGTACTTTTACCGTACTACTAGTGTACAGTGGGTTACGGTAACCGCGATTTCCTCGTGTGGATCGTTTTGCGTCAATATCATTCGGTGTGCTGTAGGCATTTTCTTTCTCCTTTTGGATTAAATGTTCGGCACCGAGCGCTTCTTGCGATTCATTGTGCTTGTAGGATCGGTATCCAATAGCAGCATTTTGGTTGCGCCGATTCAATGCTGAAAGAGAAGTTAGGGTTAATGAGGGAGTGGCAAAACATGTGGGATGCAGAGACTGTTATACTGTTGGAAATGCAAGCTCAGTATTCACACATTCTGGAAGAAATAAGATTGAAAGGATTAGCTCTCTTCGTTAAGAATTTGAAAGTGGGTTTGAAAATTTGAAAATTCCAAAAATGATCAAGATTTCGGTGATAATTCCACCCACTTGTTTTGAGTCCAACTGTAGGAGAAGGGAGGAGGAGGGTGAGGTGAAAATGACAAGGCTGTCTAACTTATCAGGAAATATATGATATACTTTTACCCCTCTAATTAAATTATTTTTCCCTCAGTAATTGCCTTCAGAAATACTTGTTGTATTTTGTATTTAGTATACTTTAAACAGCTCTTAAATACTAAAATATTGCCATTTATTTTTTAGTATTTAACTAGCCGGTGCGATCATGCGTTTTGTGCAATTCAACCCATCGAACGATTGACTGTTAATGATTTTCACTGCTTTGTACTTTAGTCTATGCAGAAATAGTTTAAAAATTGGAAAATAGTTAAAAATTTCACGCACCAGCGTATGAAAGCTGAATTCGAAACCTTGAAG